TTATAAAAAGAATACAATGTTTCTGAAATAATGACGTACATTCATATAATTAACAAAGTGAAAAAATATCCATTATATAGACGAAGAAAGTTATGCATACTTTTTTAAATTTGAACAACGACTGATTTAATTTTTTGTTGAGTTAAATGTTAAAGTGTGACCATTGAGATGCAGAAATATAATATTAATAAACGTAACCTTATTAAATAATAAATAGAATGACAAATTATTCGTTTCACTTGTAACGATGAACAGATAATCCACAATGTTTCTACTTTTTAACTTTTACTAGTTATTTTTGTCTTGGTATAAAAATAAATATGTAGAAATTAAGTTCATATAAAAAGTTATGTCAATTAAATCGAGTATAGGTGGAAAATATCATTTATTATACTACTGTTGGTGAGCAATGTCGTAAATGGCGAAACAACAAAAAAGCGAGTATGTATTGTTGGAGCCGGGATATCTGGATTGTACGCAGCGAAATCTTTCAACGAATTTCCCAATGAATTCGAGACCATCGTTTTCGAGAAGAATTCTGAAGTTGGAGGACTTTGGATCTATACGGATAATACCACAGTTGATGAACATGGCTTACCTGTCCACAGTAGCTTGTACAAAAATTTATGGTAATGTTTCTTACGTAAATTTTCAATAAATACGTCTTTGGTAACTGCTCGTATCCGAACTATAAATTCTTAATTCTAAATGATTTATAATAATTAAATATAAACTAATTTGGCTTTATTTAATATTTTTTTATATCATTTGCACAAAATAAAGATATGTTGTCGGTAAATTGTTAGGTACCACTCAATATTTTTTGAAATCGTGATTTTTCTAAAATACCTATAAATAGTTTTTTGAACTTATGCACAGTAAATGTCAAATTTATCAACTTATTGAAATATATATCTTGAATAGTTGGCTTTATATAATATCGAACGAAATCTTATTTACATATTGAAAATTGATGGTTTTTTTCATTTATTATAGTAAATTTAACTCATGTTTGAGTTGTTTTGCTAAGATTCTGCGTCATTATGTTTTTATTTTATAATGCAGGACCAATACGGTAAAAGAAATGACGTCGTTTCCGGGTTATCCACTTCCAGGCGGCAAAGAAAATGAAGGTCGATTTTTGAAACATGAAATTATTTTAGATTATCTGAGAAACTATACGACCCATTTCAATCTTTCTCAGTACATACAGGTAACTAGTAGGATTGTATACTTTATAGGCGCCAACATAGTCAAATGAAATCTAATTGTGAATGTTCAATTCTGTGTTAAGTTCAATAGCAACGTAGAAAAAATAGAACCGTTGCCTCTTCTGAGATGGTTGATTGTCTCGCGAAATTTGAATAACAAAGAGATAAGCAGAACGACGTGTGACGCTGTGGTTTTGTGTAACGGGTGAGTAGCAATATCAATACGTGATTATATGATAAATATATGTATATAACACGTTTATTATAGACACAACGTCAAAGGCTACACACCAGAAATTCGAGAAATCGGGAATTTTAGCGGGCAAGTATTACACAGCCACGTGTATCGAAAACCAGATTCTTTTGTCAATCAGACGGTCGTTGTAATGGGCGCTTCAGTTTCGGGTATCGACATCAGCGTTGACATCAGCTCGGTAGCTAAGAAAGTTTATATCAGCCATAGGCACAAAAAGTAAGTATTTTAAGTTACGCGGTGAAAGTTAGCAGACAAAGCTAATCGAATGTACCTTTAGGATTCCCTGTACCTTTCCATCCAATATCGAACAAATACCTAATGTGTCTGCAGCTAATGGTAGTAAGCTCGTCCTCTGTAATGGCACAGAAATACAAGCGGACGCATTGATATTATGTACCGGCTACCGTTACAATTTTCCATTTCTTGATGAAAGTAGTGGCATCACTATCGTAAACGAGACGCAAGTTCGCCCGATGTACAAGCATCTTATCAACATTGAGCGTCCGACTATGGCAATCATTGGCTTGCCCTTGAGATCTTACTATTTTATGCTAGTGCCAGCTCAGGTACAAACAATCATTTTCCTTGTTTACTCGAGCCAATATTGACTGATGTATTCATACAGGTAAATTACTTCAGAGCTGTGTTGCGTGGACAATTGAGCTTACCTAGTCACGAGCAGATGCTGCTCGAGGCTCAAATAGCAACGAGTACATCGAGTGGCAAACGCCACGTTACCTCATTCGGAGAATTTTTTAAATATTACGACGAACTTAGGATCCCGGTTGATGGTCAACGACTGCCATGGTGGGTCCCTCGTTACATGATTGAGCTTAGAAAGCTGTTGGTGCAAGATTTTTTACACTTCCGAGAGAAAAAATTTGTCATTAACGAAGCTAATCGTACCGCTAAGTTTGTTACAGTTTCGGATAACTCGTAAACCAGTAATTCAAGCTTTTGTGCGCTTGAGTTCATAAACATTTCACCTGTTTCAAATAGATTTAATGTAAATATTAAAAAAAAGTTTTATTTAATTCACATTCTTTTCAATCATTGTAAAACCTTGTCATTTCCTTTCTGCATCAACAGTGTCCCTAACATAATTTCACTTATTTATTTAAATGAAAATTCTATGAATGAATAAACACAAATTTTTTAACAAAAGAAGAATTATTTGAGCTACTTTATGCATAATGATGAAAAAAGATTGGATTAAAAACGTTCATGGACTGTGAATCTAAATGAACAGCAGCACTGTTGACTAGCATGACCTGTTCACAATAGCACGTGTAGAAATGTATGATCATGCGACATACTGCATGATATTCACTGGTGTAATTACAAATTTTCCTCATTCTGATTGTAAAAATTGCGTTACGATAAGATGAATAATAATAGACAATAAAAATTATAAATAATAGACAAATTACTCGTTTTACCAGCTGTGGCGTTGAATGGGAAACTCATAATGTTTCTATTTTTTTATCTTATATTTGTCGATTATTTCTTAGCGTTAATTCAGCTATAAATCAAATTCTAGTGTGTCCAAGTATATATGAAGTCTATTATATTAACCAATTCAAGTATTTTACTTGAAATTTCTATCAAAGCATGGTTTATATGATCGTCCAATGAGGAAAATCAATGTCAAAAATAATGTAAAAATAATTGATTTTGGACTACTTGCGGACTAAATATTTTCACGAGTATCTAAATGAATTTGAGCCAGTCACGTGTGAAAAGAATTCAGATGTCGGAAGACTGTGGATCTACGCGAACAGCACAATCGTTGATTGACATGGCCTACTTGTTCACGGTAATATATCCAGAGATTTACGGTAATACGAATTAATTAATTTATTGACAAGTTTATTTGTGTTAATTATTTTAAATAATGGTGTTGATAAGTTGTTATAAAAAAAAATGCCTATAACATTTTCAAAATTAAGAATGAAAAAATTAATTTTATGATTGGTATCGTTGCTTTCACCTCGCAGAACAAATGGCATAAAGGCGGAAATGTTTTTTCCTGATTATTAGAATTTTGGTAGAGTAACGAGCAATTTTACTCTCCTAAAACATGAAATAATGTTTGAATACCTGATAAATTATTCTGTTCACTTTAAACTTCCCTAATATATAGAATTGAAGACGTTTTTGTCGTGTATATACCGCGAAATAATAGTTAGACTTGAATTCCATTTTGTCTATTTAGTTCAACACTAATGTAGAAAAAATAAAACCGTTTCCTGATCACAAATGGCTCACTGTTAAATGAAATTTGAGCAATAACAAAATAAACAGAACCACTTGTGATATCGTAATAGTATGCAATGTATAAGTATAAATATAGGCCAAAATAAGTGCTTATAAATCGGTATTTTGATGTTTGGCATACAGACAGGATGTCAAGGGATATATACCGAAAATTTCGACGGTCAAGTATTGCATAGCCACGTGTATCGTAAATCTAAGCTGTTTGCCAATCAAAGGATGATTGTGTTGGGCAGCTCTTACTCAGCTGTCGACATTAGTATCCAATTCATTAGCTCGGAAAGTTTTCCTCAATCATAGGCACGACAAGTGAGTATTATACTAACGTGGTAGAAGCTCGCAGATGTTAATGACTAATGGAATGCTTGACAGACTTCTCGGCGGCTTTCCATTCAAGGTGGAGCAGGTGTTTAATGTTGTTAGAGCCGAGAATGGAAATTTCGTTCTAAGCAACGGCACAAAATTATCCGCAGATATATTACTATACTGTACCGGTTACGTCTACGACTATCCAAGTATCCAACCATGGCTTTCATGGACGTACTTGCCATCGCCATCAATCTTTAGTTGGTACATGCTCAGGTACACATCTACTTTGATAAATAAAAGATTTTGGTTTATTTACAAAATAATCGAAATATTCATCAATGCAAGTGAATTACATTCGCCAAGTATATCGTGGCAAGTTGAAATTGCTAAGCCGCGATCAACTGATGCTCACGGCTCAGATGAAAATAGTTAAAGAGCCACCAGGGAAGGGCCCTGTTCCGCCTTTCAATATCTTTTGAAAGTACTTTGACGATATTGTACAAGATTCTAATGGTGTACCGTGATGGATGCGCCCTTACCTGGAAGAAAATATCAAGGTATCTTCCATCGATCCTGTGAACTAAGGGAATGTCTTGTTATAAACGTAAATAGCCGAACCGTTAAAATTGTTTAAACACGAATTTTTTTTAAAGCAGGCACGGCTTTATAAAATATAAATAAAATCTAGCGCTGATAAAACACTTGTTAATATATGTGTTTTTCAGCTAGACCTTTAAACAGTAAAGTATATAAAAAATAATGAAAATTCTTTAAATTTAGGAGCTTTGAGACAGTTAATTTTGTTTAATGTTGCTAAGTTAGAAGTTAAAAAAAAACGTATGGGATAATAATAAGTTCTAAAGTACACTAACAGTCAATGGGATAAGTTGGGATTGAAATGAAGAATAAAAAGAACATCGTTTTTATAATAAAAGTCATTCGATGCAATGTATATTAGCTTATATATATCATAGTTTATAGGTACACTTTATACAAAACTTTATACATACATTGAATATGTGCAATCGTAAACTATTAATAAAATTAAGTACAAATTGTCTTAGGTTCATTCGTCTTTGGCTTAATTCGTAAAGTAATAAGCGATCAACTATTTACAACGGCTCGTTTCAAACTTATGAGATCCATAAGATAACTATTTACAAGAGTTTAGACTTCCGCGTGCCAACGCGATTCAATAAATATTAAGTCTGTGTCTCTTTAACGCGCACTTTTTTCGTCATCACTGTATGTCTCGCGTCAATCGCCGATTCCTCATTGCATTAATTGACTCGACGCCGCAGGCTCTTGTTTTAATTCCAAAGCCCACATGTGTTGCGGCCAGCCCGTACGGCCTTTGCTTTTCGTTGTTTCCTCTTGAATACCCATCATTTGCATTGCTGCATCGCTCTGTAACATAATGAACATATTTTTTCATCCATTAGTTATTTTGTTCGTTGTAATTTTGAGCAGCACTTTGTATCCAATCCAAATATGAATGTTATTAGATTAATAGATTGATGTAAAATAATGAAAAAAAAAAAATTATATTCTTATGGTAAAAGAACGAATACTGAAAAAATTAGATGGCTTGCAAATAATAAAAAAAAGTATCTACCAAATTTTCGACAGTCAACGATCTTTTCAGACGATTGTAACGCTACTCCTAATTTAAAAAACTTTGGTACAAAAGAGTGAATTCTCACCAAATTACTAAGCGACTTGTTTCTTCTGTTACTCGATAGGATTTCGGCGCGAAAAGTCTGAGGCTCCTCGCCTTCATCGCTATCGAGAACCGACATCAAGTATCCGATATAACTCGCAGCCAATCTTAATGTTTTAATCTTAGAAAGCTTCGTATCCGCCGGCACATTAGGAATGCAATCTCTCAAATCAGCAAAGGCATTGTTGATACTTTGCGTCCGTCTTCTTTCCTTCTTATTAGCAGTATTTCGCCGTTTAGGCCTCACGACAACGCCCAAACTATCACCGACGTGTCTCACATGCTGCTGCAGCATCGATGTTGGATTTGGTTGCAACATCGGTTGTTTGTCGCTTAGATTGTTACGGCAGTCGTTGAATTGATGATGATGATTGTTGCCAGGCGAAGATAATTGCGGCGGCGATTGTTGCTGGTAGACACCGTAGTGATTGTTTTGCACTTGGTTGTTGACGTAGGGGGATTGAGAGTATTGCGGTGAGTAGTTTGGTTCCTGAATGCCGATTTCTTCGATGAGGGGTGGTGTCGATGCCGCCGGACTACCAGCTCCCGAGCTTCCACCTGAGATACCCGAATCTGCTGCCCAATATGCCGATTGACTATCTACATCCGACATTCCTGAAACAATCAGTTATTATATTGTTTTTTTTCTACGAATCGCCTAGGTATAGACAGATTTGCAGTAAAAAAAAAACAAGAATGAAGAGAAATTGGATTCTTATCAATTGAAAAGGAAATTGATAAACAATCGAAGGAGAAAAAGTAAAATACACCGTGTACACGGTTAACTATTGAATGTGAAAAGCTAACAGTCATTTTCTTATGAGCTTATCTTGAAACCATGAAAATCTCCTGGTATTTCTCAATGGATTTTGAGAAAAATGCAAATTCTTTAGAAGTAACCCTTAAAAATGCTTCAACTAACCATAAGGTAACTGCGTAACATAGTTGTAGGGCTGGTGCCACTGTGGATAATAATCAGCCTGAGCTTCGTATCCACCAATCATGATAATTTTTCTCGTTTTGCAACACCAAAACAAAAGAAAAAGGAAAGTCCTTCAAACTGTACTCCACTTGAACGAAAAGCAAGTCGCACAAACAAGTCCGAATGTTCACTGATCACTGAGAGCCGCAGCGCTGAGAAAGCGAAAGATCGAAGCGTCCGCGCTCGATGCCACAGTGCGAGTGAGGTGAACCGAAGGATCCGTGTGGGCCTCGGCTTGGGGGTGGTGGCGAATAGGCCCGGCCCCTTACTCGCAAACAGGGCGTGGCTTAAAGTATTCTCTCTCTCACACATTTTCTCGCGGCGATCGTATAAGATCGACGATTCAATTAGTAAATTGAGAGGGCCAGTCCGCAGCCTTTTATTAATAAATGAACTTTGAGCTCGCTTGGCTCTGGATGATTTGTAAGCGATATAGAGTGTATCGCTTTGCTATTGAATGCTCGCGAAGCCAAAGTTGCGGTATTTGCATTTCAGCTTTGCTAATTTTCTACTAATTTAGGTTGATGATACTATGGAATAATGTGAGATGGATATTTATAGGTAAAATTTGAGAAATGATCTTTTTTTAGCTACATTTTTTAAATATATTTTCAAAGAACTGCACAATATCAAAGTATACTATACTTGAATTTTTATTAAGTAATTAATCAATCAATCCCCCAGTTTAACTTTTTCTAGTATAAATACTTTTGACCATTTTTTGAGCAACCCCTTTCAAAAAAAATACAAATTACAGGAGGTTTAAACAGCGCTCATTATATGTTTAGAGTGATAATACATTTGTCCTTTATCCAACTGGCATTATTTAGCAGCTTCGTGCGCTCTGTTGTTAATTTTCTATTATCTCTATAGTCATATAAATAACAGAATTCTGTTATTATTATATAAATCATATAAATAATTTTTTTAACTGTTATTTGTTGGTGATATTTGAAAATCGAATGTTCTCCTGCTTTCTCGTTGAAAACAGCCGTGAACATTTTTCAAATTTTATATTCTTATAATTAGTTTTCATTTCCCACAAAGTTCTAATTTTACCAATGTAAAAAAATAAAAATGTAATTTCCTTCATTTTATTCTATTGAATTTTTCTCTCATCCAATCACATTTTAATACGACACTGTTAATTTTACAGATCGTAATAAAATTATTCCAGCATAATTTGTAATGATAATTTGTTATTTTCTTAAAACGATTTATTAGCGGCATATTTACATTGTTGGAGATTATTATCCATATTAATTATTCATAAATTGAGTTTATTGTTGCAAGTAAGTTTCACACTCCTAGATATGTTATATAAATATTTTAATTCAAATTTTCACGCTCTTTTTTAGCACGAACCAATGTTATAACGTTGGATGTCGGCGATTCGTCATTTTTAGGAATAAGTCAGAAATCACTCGAATGAGAAAAAAATTAACTGCAGTTAAGTGATTTTGTAAATTTTTAGTCCTTGAAAAAATCTGGGATATGTTACAAAAAAAATAAAACTTTTTACTTGAGTTAATGTTCGTTCATAAGCAACGTCATCCACAGTCAATTGCAATAAATTACTTTGGGATTCAGTTTGCCATGGACATCTTATATTCTAATAAATAAAACGAGACTTAAGTGCATATAAGTTCTAATCAATAGCTTGTGAAATGGCTAAAACGTTTCAAGTTTATCCACGAAATGAAGTTTAAATTGAGTATGGGAACTAGACAAATTAAAGAAGTGAAGGCTCTACCACCAATCAAGAAAAAAGCCACTCGTAAAACGCAGTCTCCAACTCTGATGAACTTTTCCGAAACTCCATCATCGAAACTACCCCTTGAGAGAAAGAAAAAAGGTAGATCATAACCGTTTATACACTCCGAAGGAGATAGTATTTTTCCACTTTTGAAGTAAGCCGCTTCTTCTTAGCTCCCGACATCTTACTCATGGATTATTAGCGTGATTATACCGCGGCGGCAGTAGCAGTGCGCGCGCGCGCGCGCATCTGGATTGCGTCTGTGAACGGGGCGCAAAGATGAGACTCGACATAGATCTGTGTCGAGCGTCTGGTATATTCTTCTCCCCCTAACGCGCCGCGCTGCGGTTTGCCTTTAGCGCCACTTTCCCTCGCACTCAGATAATAGAACAGACGGGCGCAGACACAGCGCTATCGCCAGGTTATTGCTTCGATAGATAGTCCCACGGATATTTCCGGCGAGAAGAACTTTGCCCGATGCCGGGCCTCACAATTTGACGAATGAGCGACGGAGATTAGTTTTTCTTTTTCGTGCGTGTCACGTGGGTGTTCATTTTTGTTTTCTCCATCGAATCGCTACGTGCTTTGAATTTCATTTTGAGAGTTTACTAATTTTAGCAATTGATTGTCTTTCTCTCAGTCCCAATAAGGCGAAGACTAAAGCAAATAAAAATTGTAAATGTCACTTACACGTTACAAAGATTACTTGTAGACCATGTACCAGAAGCAAAGGACGAAAAATAATAAATAGCCGAGTACGACATTTACACTTGGCTACCTCGTAAATGACTCCTCCTCAAGCGCCACCGGCATTATTGCGTAGCATCAAAGCCGAAAAGTCGGCGTTGCGTTCGATAAGGACCTCCGACCTCAAAGCTCGCCGAAGGTACCAGGACTCTTACACTTTGACAAATCCTCTCACGCAGACAAATTGCCCCAGTCTCGACGTCTCCACTTTTATCGACTTCATATTTTCGAAAAAATTTTCTGAGGTAGACTTTCAATGGTGTCTGGTTTCTCTCTTGAGTTCACGCGTAGTCTCTTTTTATTATAAAGGAGCGTGAGTTTTTTTATCAGTTAATTTTACCTTATCTCGCGTTGTCTGCTTTGTTCAAGCTCTCGTGATGATCTCTGTTATGATGCTTTTCTTTTTATTGATTTTAAGGAAAGGAATCAATGAAATTGAAATTTGGGAAATTTATTTTTGTATTTATATGACTTGGAGGAGACTTTTGAGCCCTTGTTAAATAACCAAATAAACAAGCTCGAAAAGTTCATCGCCAAACAATTGCGTTGCGTTTAAATAAATAAACTGTTGTAGCTGGTGTTTTCGACGATGACGAGTTGCAGACGCGAAACTAAGGCCATTCGAAATCAACTCGGCGACCCTTGTCTATTTACACCACCCTGCGGGGCGAGAAGAAAAATGGCCTACTTTAGACTGCTACCGCTGCGTTTGCGGATATGTACTGACTGTAGGCTACTGCAAGTGTACGTACACTTCATATTTGTGCTTGGACAATTCTGTTTTGGAATTTTATAAAAAATAATTCGACGAGCTAGTGTGTACGAACAACAGTTAGGTAACGGTGTGAATTTCTTACTTGAGCTTGCAAACAGAAAAGAAACAAAAAAATATAACAAAGTGCAAAGGAAAAACGTTCTTTTTTGCCGATTGGAAGATGATTGACGTCACTTTTTGCAGATTGTCAATCTAAATAATTTTCACTACGAGGCACATTATTAATCATCGTAAGGATACGTACATCTTTTAGAGGCCAAATTCTTTGTATGAATAAAAAAACAAATCGAATAAGACAGAGAGAAAGAGAGAGAGAGAGAGAGAGAGAAAGCTGTCGGATCTATATACGCGTTTGGGGCCATGTGGCTTTTACGAGATATCAAATCGTAGTGGTGGAGCGGTATACGCCTTACTGCCCACCTAAATATAGTTTATTACGTTACCAAGTATTAACCGACCTCGCGTGTGCAGAACGTCAAATTTTATAGGAAAATCCGTACATCAAGTCACTTACACTTGAATTCGCCAATTTGTACTCTGCTTGATTTATTACTCTTTGAACGTATCTTTTGAGCTACTCTTACACGAAAAATTTTCGATGTATAATACAAAAGTGACCGATATTTCATTATTACGTGTGAGATAGTAGCCGAGAGAGAGAGAGAGAGAGATACAGAGATACAGCGCATTACACGAATAAATATTAAAAGGTGTGTGTTTGAAATTTTCACTTTGGCCAGCCATTTGAAATGTTTACCCTTACTAATTTATTCATATTACTCATAGTTTAATAATAGCGAAAGCAATTAATTATAAAATAAAAAAACGAAGAAGCAGTCGTGCCATATCAATCCAGCTAATGGCTTGAGGAAATAGAGCCCACTAAATGTACAAATAATCGTGGATGCAGCTACTACTCATGTCTTTTTTTTCTTACAAGTTGCTCTTGACTCGTTGATAATACGAGATTAATCAAGAGCGAACATCCTCCGAGGGCGGAAGGAAGCATTTACATGGCAGGTGCTCGTGTGCACGGCTGAAGATTCGTGGCGTGTGTCAGTCTCGCTCGATTCGTTTACTTTGGATTCACTTTTCCCTCGTTAGTGGATTTTCACGCTCTTATCGAGATTTCCGTGACTTACTTGTTTTGTAAAAAGAAACTTTTCCAAGTCCAGTTCGAAAACGACTCTATTTGAGAATCAGATCAAAGAGGCAAATCGAGCCAACAAAATAATTTACTGCCTTTCAAACATTTACACGAGTAGCTTATACACGAATACGCGTAGCGAGCAAGCATTTTACGATCATGTATGCCTCCCCGCAGTGCTGACCCCTCACGAAATTTCATTCATGAAGTCCCTCGCGCGACTCGTAACTTATGAGATTTTCTGATGTTTCAGAGTCTATAATAGCGAGTATAGCGAGAAGAGGCGTTTTATGGATTTTCCTGGCCTACACTTTACTGCTGGCACAACAAACCATGTATTTTTTCTCGTCGAGTATATATACGAACGTGTAACGTCATTAAATATCGATGTATCAACATCCGCGCCCTCGTCGATTTCCGACTGTACGTATAAATTTAACGCATTTTGACAGTTCAGTTTATTGTTACATCAGTATATTTACGCGCGCGTCCCAATCGGAAATGTACAGTTTGCACGTCGTGTTGTTTAATTGCACGATCAAAATATGGCGGTGTTGAGAAAAAACATTTGATATCGGCTCGGTTAGCAGCTTCACTTGCAATGAGATGAACATAGATTGGCATGTGGGCTTACAACAGATATAATTAATAAACAAGTGAAAGATAACTGAAAGTTCAGCTTGACAATAATTATAAAAAACTGTAAAGTGCCGAAGCTTAATTCTTTATGCTTCAAGAAGCAGCTTACACA